GGGTGGTCGATAAATGATGAAAAAAAATACCTAAATAAATGAAACATGCGGCAGGGAGTTTCTAAATTCCATGCTAGGTAAGATTTACAAGTTGCTGTCATAGCGAAAGCAGAAAAAAAAAATAAGAAAAAAAACAACTAACTCAAAAAACACTTGATTCAGTCTTTAACACCGTTTTCATAAATCCAGACATAATATATATACGAACAGATATGATTTAAGGACGTACGCGTGAAAATTTTCCAACATTGATTTTTTTCTGAGGCTTTTGCCACTGTAAGATGATGAATTAGTTATGTCAGAAATGTGAAAAAAAAAATGGGGTTCACAGACTTCATTTTGGAGAGAACATGCCCGGAAAAACATCTTAAATCTGAACAAATCAGGCTTAGGTTTACAGTGTCTGTAAACCTAAAAATATTACAATTAGACCTTTAAAGTGAAATGTTCTCAGCCAAATATTGTTTAAGTGGACCTATTAAGTGAATTCAGTCAACTGCATGGTGAGATTCCTTAAAGAACAAGTTCGCATTTAGCGACCATAGTTTCACGCGCATTGCAGCCGCAAGATGGCACGATTCGATGTCCCGTGGAGAGATATCTTGAAATTTTTTTAACTTCGAATTCCCACATTAATTTTTTGTTCATTTTTGGACGATGTGGAGATAATTGTAAATAAAATCTGCTTCTGCAAAGAAAAGTAGGGGTCACCGAACGTCCAAGATCGTTAAATCCAGGCAAAGCTATAGCAATGGCCATCAGCCCTATCATTGTTCATTTTATTACTTAGCGCGCGCTGTCATGCATGACGTGGCGTGTAAATTTGCGTGTGCAGTAAGGATGCGCAGAAACAAGTAGCGGGAACGTCTTAATGAGCAATACAATGGCTGTGCACGTGCGTTATAATTCTGCGTTGTCCGGAGAAGGTGAACCGCGACGGCTAATTTTTTAAATTTCTATTTCAAATTTTTATTTCAAATTTATCAATGTGTTACGGATTTAGTTTTGCGATAGTTTTGACAGTGATAAACAAAGTAAATGACTTTAGAGTATCGCGAGATTCGTAGGTATAATATAAATTCATTTTTTAAACGACGCTGTCCGGGGCGTCGACGTCGCGGTTTCTATCGACATGGTACGCTGCTTTCACTTATATCGCTAAAGCGCTAGCGAAAACCAACCATTTAGAATAAATAACGAATAATGAATAATAAATTCAACACGTTTCCTAAGCGACAAAGTGGTCAGTGTCATGGAAAATAAAAGTGTTTCTTGCAAGTATTGAATATATATTTTCTGAACCTTTAACTACAGTGAATTGATTCAAAGGAAGTGTGAAAGCGAAGGCCAGTCGGTAAGGTTGAATTTTAAACAAATGTAGTAGTAATTAATTGTCATTATTATTATTCATAGTTTCCTTTATGTTTCCTTTACCTTCTTCGCTAACTATTAGCGATGGTTTCAATAAAGCCCTACATGTATTTTGATCTTATTAACGTCAGGCAAAACAATTGCCAATTGACAAAATTTCTTACTCTTGATATTTTTTGAGTAAGAATACATACTTTAAGAATATAACTCGAGGCTGAAATGTGCAAAATTTTAAGAATATCTTATGAATAACCCGAGACTGAGATTTTGAAAAGAATATAACTTCGTAGGTTGAAAATATGTAAATACTATACAATTATATGTTTTAAACTTAACCGTATAAAATTCTTCCATTCTTTAAACGGCAGTGCTAGCCGTAGAGCAGCAAAAACAACAATTGCCATATGTTCGATACTAATAATTTTTCTGCAAGAAGTTATGTGTCACATTAGGCTTGATCGCTTGAATTCTGGCTCCAAAATTACTTCAGTGCCATCAGTCATGATTTAGCCGGATAATCTGACGATGTGTCGGGATAGTCCACGTTGTGTTCGTTCAATTCTCCGTTGGAATAAATTAAACAATAATCTACTGAAGAACATTCACAACGATATTTTCAGCTCAAAATCAGCAGAAAAATAAGAATATTCAGCGTGGGCCGAAAAAGCAATATCCTTATAACAAAAAGAAGAGTGTAACTTGGCGAGTTTGATTTGAGCATTGATTCATCTACAACTGATCATAGATATTGGAGCATGATGTTGCCGTGAAAGTAAACTGCGAGGAGTCTTTATTTCGTTTGCTCTAAAATCCGAGGGGAAGAACGCAAAACACGACAGATATCAGGAGCCATAATCGGGGACGGAGGCGTAAGCGCGCGCCATTTCTAGTATTGGGGCTGTCCCTATGATATGGGGCAATTTTTCCATTTTTTGAACAAATTGCGCCATCCCGTGCGGCACACGCGCGTACATGCTGCGAGGATTTTTGCGGATGTAGCTCGGGGAAATGACGTCCGAAATTCCCGAAATGTTTGATGCTTTTGACCCACAACTCAATACTTTCATGTCTGTTGGAATTTTGCTTCAGTATTTTCGTCGTAAGCTGCTCCAGTTTGAGTGAAGTAAGACAGTGTCGAATTTAGTTATGTGCCGCTTYATGATATATATCACTGACCAAGTTGTGTTAGCAGCTTCTTTTACAAGAGCTCCACATTACTCCACCCTAAGTTTCACATATGTTGAAGATTAACAGCTTTTCCAAAACACAGCTAAAAACTAGTTGGATATATCTGGACATAGCAGCGTTTCAGGACTTCAAAGTTTCCCTCCTCTTGCCACACGCTTGCGAGGATTTCACCAGAGTCTATCTCGACCGAACAGTAAAAAAAGATAATAATTGCAGGTTTGGGTTTCGCCTGAATTGTAAGTAACGCTTGATGTTTTATCAAGACCCAATAAGTGACAATAAAGTTTATGTCTGTAGATGCTGCTTAGTTTTGTTTGTGTTAAAATCCAATAAATTGACTGTTGTCGATGAATAAGAGCGCCCGCCGATGCGTGTTTTGTACAGTCAGTAAGACTGACATGACAAATTGGACTTCCCCACTTTCGTGTGAAAACGTACATCAAACTCATGTATCTCTAGTTTTAGGTTGTTAAATTTTTGAGAACACATTAAGAGCCACTGCCTGTAAATATGGAGAATCTGACGACAGGTCGGTAAATTCGAATTTTCTGTTATTGCGTCAAAAAGACCCTTTTGGTGAAGTATTTTCAGAAATATACTTTCAAAGTTCCAGCGACTTCACATTTTTGTGAAATCTAGGAAAGTTCGAA